ATGTTTTCTAAACTAAAACCAGGCTTTGTTGGGCTGCTGGATAAAACCTGGAACTAAATGCTATTTCTGACATTTTGAATTTAGTATGTTTATTTAGCTCACGGCCGTTTTGAAATAAATGTGACACCATAGATCTATCTTTGGTCATTTTCACCATGTGACATGCAGGTTTGTAAACACAATTGATTTGATAAAATCCGATCGATTCAGGTTATTTTAATGTTATTAGTTGGTTGAACTAACTTAATGCAGGCACAGATATAGGTCAACAGAATTAGATTTTATCAAGTTGTTCTTCTGCCAAAGTTGCAGGCCTGATCAGTTAGGGCGTTTTATTACTCTGTGGGTTTTTCCCCTGAATAAAACACTGAATGGTGTTTCTGTTCTCGTTTAAAACAAAGATAAAAAGCTCATTAGGTTTGGACGCATCAGGCCGTTACATAATATTAGCGTCTCTGAATCAGATTATGCAGCCTCCTCTATCCAGGCTACTTACATTAGAGACCTGGAATTGGAAGCGTGTGCTCGGGCTTCACAATTTATTGCCTTTGACATTAATGCATATTAAAGAGCTTCTTCCATCCAGAGGAATGAACTCATTGTTTTTGAAGCTGTAATTCTGTATGTGAGCTGAACAGGAAGGTTTCTGAAAAAGAAAAGACACGTTACAAGCTCCAATCGTTAGCAGAACTAGAAAAACAAAGACGATTAATTAATCGGGCTGCAGCTTTCAGAATAACAGAGGAGGGAGGCGGAAACGTCACATGACTTCTGGGAAATCAGCAGAAAGTAAAACTCTGACGGACGGCGTGGTGAAGGTTTGGTGATGAACACTTTGCGGAGACAATTGTGAAACATTAATAGGTTGGCTCTGGTTTGGAGACGGAGAGTTATTTATATCTGGACCAGATGAAAAGAAAAAAGTGCTTTCAGCGCCGGCTGGTTTGGCTGTGAAATGAATAAAAAGGGTTGGATTAGGCTGAGGAATTTAGACATGATTACATTCCTGGAGCATATGTGTCAGAGACCCACCAACCAGATCTTTGGAGGAAGAGAGAAGGATGTGTTGGGCTTTCCTTCAAAGTCTGTCATTGATCAGAAACAGGCTATCAGGATTATCCCCCATTATTGGATGGCTTTGGTAAACATCCATCAGTTTTCCTCATCAACCAACACGCGCCGCTTCTAGACGGAAATGTTTTCGCCTCCATGTGCTTAATGCGATCCTGATGTTGCTGTTGGAGCAAACACCTCGTAGCGACTTCGATCAACCAACACAGCAGCTGCTGGCTGAGAAGTTGTGAGCTGTGACGCGTCTCCAAGACGCCATCATAGGGCCGCCAACCGTCCTGAAAAATGGAATTGCTCCATATTTAGAAATATGTCCCGTATTTAGAAAAAAAATAAAACGCACTTTGTCCCGTATTACTGTGAGAGTAAAGAAATAGTCAGTAAAAGCTAAAGGAAAATGAAGAACAAGGGTACGTTAGATACAAAACTTACGGTAAAATTGTTCCCGCGCCCTGTGCTGCGTTGTGACTGTCACGATCCGATATGTCCCGGAAGCACGATTCGAATAATGTAATTAAGGTACTAAAACTACTTATTTTTATCCTTAACTTACTAAATAATGCTAATACACATATAAAAAGAACATGTTTTATGACTTTTGTGAGACAATTTTTATGCTTTTTACATTTTACATTTTTTTTTTACATTGCAGAGCACGACTACAACTTTATTATTATTATTATTATTATTAAATGCATAAGAGGAGCAAAACATGCAGAATTAATGCTTAATTTAATGACATGATTAAACCATCACACGTTTCTGCCCAAACTTTTATTTTCGTTGTGCATCTTTGTAATAGAAATAATTATTATTGTACTAAATTGGTTTGTTGTCTTCCTCCAAACTCAGCATCTCTTCATTCATGCCTGAGATAAGAAGTTTGTTTAGAAGTTGTGACTGGATTTAATAAAACTTTTAAGCCTCTTAGTATAAAATTAATATTTTGACCGAGATGAGAAATTTGTTTCCTGGTCTGTTGAAGTATCAATAGTTTGGATCCAATTATTTAAAATAAATGGTCTTAGTTTTGGGGAATATATAAGAATTATGCTCTAACTTTTTAGTTACCGATCTGTCGTTACGAGACTTTGTCTGTTTTAGATTAGGTTAAGATTGATAGAAGAGGAAGAAGATTAGAAGACTGATAGAAAGAAGATTGAACGACAGCGGAGGAAAATTCTGCATAAAACAGAGAGCAGGCAGGAGTCGGCTACAAATAGAAGATGGAGAGCGACGAAGACGGAGGAGAATGAATGACTGTATGGCACCGATAAAAACTGGAATGATTCATTTTATTAATCTTTTTAAAATAGGAGAGGCACTTAATGGATTTTACAATTGATTTTTGTTGTTTAAATATTAATAAATATGCAAAAATGGATGAAAGCATCACTGTCCCCATTTCCTATTTTAATTCTGATGATATTTATTTATTTATCTACAAGCTAGAAATGTCCCCAGATTAGATTTCAGAAACTTTATTCAAGACTTTGAATGATTGTTTTCTACTTTCGGTTACTTTAGATCGCCAATGAAATGTAAAATAATAGCAAATATAGGGAATAATATGCAAGAAACGGGAGCAGTTTGTCCAAGTGGAGTTGCCATATAGTGACGTCATCAGAAGGGGCGGGGCCCCGAGCAGATCCGATACCTACACCGGTACTAGTTGGGCCTTTAACAGCCCTGTATAGGGTTGGCCCCCCCTGCTGTACCGTTTTTTTTTTGGTTTGTTTTTGATTGGCTCACCGGGTCCAACTTCCTGTTAAAATTTTATTTTATTTTTTTTCTTCTTTTCTTTTGTTGAACACGGGAAGAAGGATATTTAATTCTAAGGCTTTTTTTTTCCTCTACAGAACATCCCCACTGCCGACTGGGGAAAAAAAGGGTTGAAGAGAGTTAAACAAAAGAGCAAATAAAAAATAAATTATTTTGCACCCTCAGTTTTGTCTGTTTCCTCAAATCTGTTCTTCCCTTGTGGAAGTTTTTAGTTATTTTTTTGCGTGGGAAGCTGGTGATCACTGGTGATGTTGGACCTGCTGAGTGTGAACTCCCCCACCGTGTCTCTCACTGGCCTGTTGTCGCCGCCACGCCGATGCTGTGTACCCACCTGCTCTCTCTTTGTTTAGCCCCTCCCCCACCTGTGTGTTTGTGTGTGTGAGACCACTTACCGTGCCTCTCTTTCTGCCTCTCTTCCCTCACAGCATGTGATTGCCATCCCGTGGGCGCTGCTGGCAAAACCTGTAACCATACCACAGGACAATGTCCCTGTAAAGATGGCGTGACGGGTATCACTTGCAACCGCTGCGCTAAAGGCTACCAGCAGAGCCGCTCACCCATTGCCCCCTGCATAAGTACGTGGAACCAGCCTGCATCACGTTAGGACACAAACTCACCTTCAGTGTTAAACACACTGCAAAAAACATCTAGAAATAAATACATTTCTTAAATTAGGGATATTATCCCTTAATTTAAGTCGGTAAATAAGGTGATCTGCCAATGGAATTAGTATTTTTACTCTTCAAATGAGATAATTAGATAATTATGCACCTTAAATGAGATAATGCAATTTTTTTTCCTGATTTTAAATGGAAATTGTCTCAATCCGTTGGCAAACTTTCTCACTTTCCTCCTCGATTCAAGAAGAAATGCATTTATTTTAAGAAAAAATGACTTCTTTAGATTTCAATATTCTGTTAAAATCAGTTTTATTTTAATCTGAGAGTAAAATCAGATTAGCTGAAGCTAGTATCACTGGAAAAACTATCTAGAAATAAGTAAAAATGTCTTAAATTAAGTGTATTTATCCTTAATTTGAGAAGGTAAATGAGGTAGCTTGCCAATGGAATGAGTATTTTTACATTTAATAAAGATATTTAGATAATATGCACTTGAAATAAGACAATGCAACTTTTTTTTCTTATTTAAAGTGTAAATTGTCTTGTTCCATTGGCAAAATGTCAATTTTACCTCCTTAATCCAAGAACAAATTCACTTATTTTAAGAAAAAATGACTGAAACAAACATCTACCATCTTAAAATGACCTAAATCTCAAAAATAAAAAACTTTTTTCAGCAGGAAGTTCCTTCAGATTTCTTTTTATATGAACAAATCACTTATGGTTCATCTAAATACGACTTCATTTAGTTATTATTTTTGCTTCAAACTACTTTTTGTTCAGTTTCAGACTCACACTGAAGGCTTTTATTTATTCCCTCTAAACTTATAAAGTTCTTAAATACAAAATCTGGAATTTTCATGTTAAAAATAAGGAAAAAAATAGATTTTAATACGGCCGTTTTTTATATTGAAGGCCTAAAATTTACTATAGATACAGCTTAAATGTTATTTCTTTACTTGCTTCCATCTTTATTCACCTTTATTGGTGTTTTGGTGGAATTTGTCATATTTTTAAACCATAATTAATATAAGAACCACAAACACCCTGCAGTTATTTTTATCGGCTTTTTATTCTCTATTACAAGCTTTAAAAACTAAAGAAATCTACTCATAAACTGACTAATTGATTTGGTTTTCTTATTCAAGAACTTGAAAGAAAAAAAGTCAATTTATTAACCGACTGCTCATTTAAAAAACGTCTTATTATGAGGTTTTTATTTACTTTTATTTATTTGCATTTCCAGTGTAAACTTTAATGTTTGGTGCAGAAAGTGCCGTCATTGATGACTTGGTTAACTTGACTCAACCACAGGTGATAAACTAATTAAGGTCTAAACTTAAGTTTTTATTTTACACAAATAATTAGTAAGTTAAACAAAAATTTTAAATTAATTACAACCTAATTTGACTCACTGCTTGTGATTCACTGATTAAATTATTAATTTTTTGCGATATTAAGGAAGTTAAACATCTGTTAAGTTAACTTATTTGCTGTTTTCATTAATTAAATCCTATTAGTTTGTAAAAGTTCTTAAAATATCCTAAATTTAACTTGAAAGAAGCTGAAACTGTGAGAATTAGACACAAAAAGCTTCCAAATTGATTATTTTAAAAGGATAAATTCTGATAGTTTAGCTGCTAGATTCATCCTCTAGGAGCCACTAATCTGGATCTTTGCTTAATGAAGACTCAGGTAAGATATTTACTGCTTCTAATCTTAAAGCGAGAATTCCATTCTATTCAGTTTATTTCTATAGCTCCAATTCCCATCATGTCATCTCAGGTCACTTTCCAGTTCACCAGATCATCCAGTCAGATTGATTCAAAGTTTTCTATCTAAGGAAAACCAGCTGATTGCATCGACTCATTGACTCTTCAGCAATCCCTCACACTAAGCATGCTTGTAGCGACAGTGGAGAGGAAAAACTCCCTTTGAACAGGAAGAAACCTCCAGCAGAACCAGGCTCAGTGTGAGCGGCCATCTGCTGAGGCCCACTGGGGTTCAAGGAGACAGAACAATTTGAACATTTCTGAAAAACCTCCAATCAGTTATAATTTACACAAATGTTCAAAAACTCTCCAAAAATCCAGATGTACGGTGAGATGATGTCGGCCTTTTCCCAGACAGGTTCATTAGGCTACAGGGTTGTTGTATTACGGCCAAGTGATGACTCTGAGCTTCAACAGCAGATTTAATCCAAATAAATAACTTTCATGACTAAGAAATGACCTGAAATTCAAACTTTATATCAAAAACGCTCATCTGAAAAAATAAGAAAGATCAAAATGATCAGATCTTCTCACCAAGTTTTTTTATTTCTGTTGATTGGGAATAAAGTTAATATTTTCCTAAAGGAATTTCTGAATTAACATCCGATTTGCTAAATGTTGTATTACCCTCATAAAGCCTTATTTTATAAAACGGATCATAGTTCAGAGACTGCTGGTGCAGACTGCTGCACCTTTTTTTAAGGCAGCCATTTTTTTTTATCAGACTGTGAATACATTCATCCCACAGATCGACGCAGAAAGTTAAACCCACGTCTCCTGGGTTGATTTAGAATCTTAGATCATGAGATTTTGGTCATTTTAACTGTGAGAATCTCATTTCTACTTCTGTACAAACCCTCACGGTTGCACCCCTTTCCCTCAGTGTGTCTCCTTCCTCTGCATGCGTCTTCCATATGTGTCCTTGTTCCTTTGAGGAAAAGAGCTGCGGTCTCCATAGTGGAGCCGTTTCATTGTGTGTAACTTCTGTTTGAATTGTCAGTTAATTAGAAGTAGGTCTCCTTAATGTGGAGTGGCCGTCTTACCTTTGAGCTGAGTTTAATTAGTCTTAATATAAAGAGCAGTGAGGTTTCTCCACCTGGTTCGCTCTAAAGCTGCCAGGTGTGCAGGTAGAATCTATAGGAAGGCAGCTACACCAGAGCCAATGATTCAGTAGAAGTTTAAGGATTTCCTTGTTTAATAGCTGAACTATGTGATCAACCATTAAATGGTCGTTATTAACGTTCCAAAAATGTTTGTTTTTTTCCTGGCTGCCACCTAATGGCAGCCCACTGCTCCCCAGGGGTTAAATGCAGAGGGTGAATTTCGTTGCTCTGCAGCTACATTTGAGTTTTTTTCTTTTTCTTCCCATCCAGGAAGCTTTTTCAATTCAAAATGTCAGAAATAGCGTTGAGTTCGAGGCTTTATGGTCGTTATTAGCAGTTATCAGTCCCATAGAATGGCTCCAGACTGCAGCTCCTCTACCTTCCTTATGGCTGATAACATGCAGCTTATATAACAGCCGCTTTGGCCGCGTTTAAAACCTTAAATTTCACTTTTTATTTAGCTACATTATACTTTTTATTTACTTTATTTATAGCCTAGCTTCTTAAAAAAAACGAAACAGTGTTTTAAAGCTTTGCTTCCAGTAAATTCCAGATGTTTCCGTCACATGGTCGTGTTGAAAAAGAACTCAGTTGACAGGATAGGAGATTTTTTTGGGATAGGTATGGAAGCCCAGAGCGGTCGTACTCAACTTTTTTTTCCCTTTGCCTTCTCGAGATAATGACATAACTATCTCATTATTACACTTAAACTATTAATTGTTTTCTAGAGATAACCAGATAATTATGTGGTTATCGCTAAAAAAAAAAAACAGTTATTTATTTGTTGAGATAAAAAGATGATTAACCTGTCTGAGTAATGAATGAGGCTGGCCAACAGCCCTGGATTCCCAGTCCATCCGTGCCTGCGGGGCCCATAGTTGTGCAGTCGTGGTACCGCGTGTTCGCAAATAATCCGTTTTTTAGTTTCCTTTTTCTTTTCGCTCATTGTCGGGAGGTGATGCATGATTGGATTGATTACAGAAGAAACAAATCTGACTGTTTTTTAAAGAAAATCTTTAATCTGGACTCATTTTGGGGGTTAAAGCATCTTATAGCTGTTCCAGGCGGAACACCGGCGCTGTTCAGAAACACCTGGAGGCAAAGGTCTGATTGCTCAGGAATCAGAAGTGGAAGCAAATCATCAAACCAACATCGTCTCGTTAGCTAAAAGTTAAACACACGATTATTTACAGAATTATACATAGGTTATACTTATACTTAGAAATCCCATCCCGCTGTTGTGGTATTGAAGGATGTAATCAGTTTTAACACCAATCATCTCGTTATGACGAGAAAACGACTTCGTTATCTTTAGATAATGAGAAAATTAACTCGATTTCTTGAGAAAACCACCGTGAAAAAGTGTTGGAGGGACATGCCCGCTCTGGGCTTCCTTAGCTATGAGCGCCATGCCAAACAACTTTTGTTATACTATAGGTGAAGAACTACTAAAATTATAGTCAGATTACACATAAATATAGATTAAATCATTCTGTGGGTAAAAAAAGGAATTACTTTAGGATTAGGATTAGGATTGACTCTGATAATAATCCACTGAGCCTACTGGAACAATCTGAAGCCATTCTATGGGACTGATCACAGCTAATAATGACCATTTATTGAGAGTATAACATGGAAACAGCTGTGTTGTAGTTTGCATGACCCGGATGTCAGCAATGGAATTAACACACCAGAGGGGCTCATAAAATCCCAACTTGTTTAATGCACTTTAGATCCTGACTGTTTTGAAAGGATTTTAATGAAAAATGTTTTTTTTTTTTCATGCATTAGATGTGAGATTCTCACAGTGAGACAACCTTGAGATTCAGGCTGCAGCTCAGGGATGTTGCAGGAAGGAGGGGAGGTCCTGAAATGCTGGATAAATGATTGTTTCATTAATGAGGAACGATTAAAGCATGACCCATGTTAGCATTGCAATGTTTAATTATGCAGAAATCTTGTCTATAATTATCGCCACGAAATGTTAAGTACAACTCTTCACATTTATAAAGTTAAGCAGTCAAAAAATATATATATAAAATAAACATTTAGCTCCAAATCAAATATTAGTTTAATAAACAAAATATTTAGCTAGCACTAAGCTAGCTAAATATTTTGTTTA